GTCAGACACAGTGGTCAGGGTTTGGCAGCTCCAAATTATACATCTCTGTAGTTCATTCACCCCATCTATTCGTGCAGCACCAAGACACGTACACTGCAGGTTAGCGACCACGGCTGTGCCGCACTAAAGCCCTGCTCAGACCCATTCCATGCCCAACAACCGTCAGCTGCTCATTTTCATGCTCTCCTACCTCCTCAACAACTTCTGTTGAACCATTTACACTTAGATTTGCAAATGCTCCCTTTTTAGGTTTTGTTCTGACCCACACTCAAAGTGGTTTCCATGCAATTTATTGTCATTGGCCCTACAGAATTTAAAATTTGTCTCACACAAATCTGTCACTCCTTGCCTATGAAAAGCAGCCTATTGCAGGCAGGGTGACACCGGTGACTAAAGAGGTTCCATTGTGACAGACACATCTCCTTTCCCTGTCACAAAAAGCACCCGACCTGTCCCATCCTCTCTGATGATGCTGAGATCAGCAAGTGATGGAAAGCCAAACACTTCACATGGGACAGAATGAGGTTTATGGCCTGGTTTTATCTGCAGTGGCATGAACGAAGTGTTTCTGTACAACACAAACCCCTCCATCAGCATCACTCTCTGCACTGTTGCTGGTGAGAGCTTCAGTACATCCTTCCTGCCCAGGCAAGGAAATTACAGCCACTGCCAGAGTGGTGGGTTTCTGCATCACGTGTTTCATTTCTCCTACATCAGCCTCAACTATTCACAAGATGCTAGAAAAAAGTATCTGTGTCAATAAAATAACTCTTCCCAAAGTTCACTGTCTTACTTTCTAGCAAAATTAAATCCATGAATTTTTCTCTAGGTATGGTGGGGACGAAGGATTTTCTCTCTCAGTCTGCAGCCACGCACGAGATGTGTCTTCCTCTGGAAGCTGGTTTCACATGGTGGCTTAGATTTTCCCACTTTGTATCTAGCACCATTTGAAATCAGTGTTCTAGGAGCAAGAATTACAGCGTGGGAGGAGACCAAGCAGCTGCTAACTTCACCAACAGCCTCTACTCCTCAAACCAGCACCTCTTCCAATGGGTATTTTTTTACCAGCCATCCACTTTGTAATATCATCTGATTCCTAGACACTTATACCACCACTGTGTATGTACACCCGCTCCAGCTAGGGCCACCACAGGAGCAGCTTCAAATGTATTTCTACTTAATAAACAATGGATACTGAGTTAAAGTTGTCCAGAGTAAAGTGATCCGAAAGTTGCATGAAAACCAACATGCATGTGACAGATATTGTCAAACTCTCTTGTATTTGACAGGCAGAGTACATTTTGTTTAGTCTACAATCATTAGGACCCTAATGTTTAATTTACTAACTCAGAGCAAATGTATTCCCACTCCGTGCTTGGGGACTGTAGAATTACCACTGCACAGCCCAGAGACTTGCTCTGCAAACACAGGAATTCCCCCCAACAATTTGATCTCAGCAGCGAAACCCAAAAGTGCCCTCAGCAATCACAACGATGCCACACTGCTGCACACAGAACCCACTCCCTTTTCTAGAATTATTATTTTCATTTCATTGCTGGTAACTTCTGGTTTGGTGACTTCTACACCTTTGCATCCAAACTGCTAAAATGAAGCTAAGCTATTTTTGCTTGACCTCGCTGTTGTCAAACACGTTATTAGGCACAGAAAAGACGATGGCTGTGTGGATGAAGCACTGATCAGACCACTGAACAGTCGTCCTTAAAGCTGCCATCTACAAGAGGACCCTTCTCTGAGCCAGGAAAATGTCTCTTACACAGGCTGACCGATTTCTCTTGGTGTTCAGAGTCTTAGTTTTTGTCTAGCACCATTTGAAATCGGTTATGATGTAGGGGGAAAAGCAACACTAATGGAAAACTTCATTCCCCCGCCCCCAAAATCCTTTATTTTCAAACACCACCAAAAGCACGGCCCTGCTCCGCAAACACGTGCGGTTCTGCTGCTCCCCAAGCCGGAGGTGCACCCGCGGGCCGACCACCCCGCACAGAGGACGCAGCACCACGCTCAGCCCGGAGGGTGCTGCGAGACACAGCAAAGCATCTCTTCAAACACCCAACCACAGTTCTGCAACCCACGCCAGGGCCCGTGCGCCAGCACAGCCACCCAGCTCTCCGGCCGGTGATTTCCATGTGCTATTTGTGTGCCTTAACCTGTTATTTCCTCAGATTTTCTTTTCTTTTAAATAAAATTGTGTGCTGCTTGGTATCAGGCTCTGTCTCAGACAGACAGATCACACGTTTCCCTGCTGGATGGTATCTGCTTGCTGCAAGTCTCTTCATTTCAGCCCCAGCTCCATTTTCACCACCATGCTCCAAAGCGGGCATTTCCACGGTGTGACACAGAAACCTACCAACCGCTGCACTTCACACCACTCCACGTACAGCCACACAGTGCTGTACCTACGTTTTGTTACTCCCACCATGAAAACACCACTTGTTTCTCCAGTAGATGGCAACACCGCCTTTTTATTGCATCCAACCTCAGCACCAAGTTCATGTGTTCGTGACTCTTATCAGTTCCAGGTTCTAAAATGAAATAATCAATGTGGGACTGAGCTTTAGAAAAATGGTGCAGAATTCGTAACAATTAGGACAAATTAATCTGCAGCATTTAAGTCGCATTTCCTAGTGGCTGCCTATCCCACTGTTCACTGCAGTCCCACAACTTCACAGATTATAAAGCTGTGTAGTCCACACATTGTCCACACCAACACAACCACTAATTAAAAAAAAAGCATTTTTCTACTCCATCTCCCAAAAAGGCTTCATTCTATAAGGCAGCTGACTCTACACGTTTCTTTGCAAAGAAAATTAAGTACACTTTCAGTCTGAATCTCATACAATTACAAATAATCGTGTTCTACCTAACATTTTACTTCAAAACGCCCGAGCTGTATTCCCCAAGGATTACATCTGCCACACACTGGACCAAGGTGCCAGAACATCCTGGTGCCACACCAGAGCAGCAATCGATCATCTGCCTCTTCTCCATCAAGATCTTACTACATTTTTCAGGAGTGAACACATCCAAAGAAACTCAGAAAGCTGTAAGACTGCTCAAATTAAAACACATTCTCTATATTAAGTAATTCCGTGCACAGGCTGCAAACTTCAATCTCAACAGTTACCACCTAATAAAAGTTTGGTCCACGAAAAATCTTAAGAATAATGGAGAAATGGCTGCTTACAACATGGCGAATGAAAGACAAACACTTACTGCTAAATAATCTAACATTTTTATTCGTAATATTACAAGTCATCACTAATCTTTACATCTGGAAAAAAGTGTAAAAATAAGGCCATTTTTAACAGTTATTTCACTTGACCATTAAGAGCGTTTCAGCGTAGTTTCAAACACGGAGGATGCCACACACCATCGAGCTAGTTAGTGACCAGCACACTCAATTCCCAGTATATTACCAGTTTACAAACACTTATCAAAGTTGGTATCAGCTGGGCAATGCACATTCTGTGGAGCCAAAACCCCTTTGTAATACCCAGAGACTATGGCAAACTCTGACAATAAACTGCTGGGATTGTCCCAGACAGCCCCATAAAGCCCTCAATAGTGCTATGTTACTCAACCTGTTCAGGATCTGGCACAGGCAGTGCCCATCTACCCCAGACAAGACACAATTCTTTAAATGCTGCCATCTGAAGTAAGGCAATTTGATTTTTCTGGGAAAATTGGTTCTCATAAGCTGCCAGCGTGTTGACAGCAAATTCAGAGATTTACAGAGCCAAAACCTGTCCTAATTAAGCTTTTGTTTTTAATGAGGAATTAAGAAATAGCAAGTAAGCATTTAAAGTAACAGCTATCAATGCACATCTGAGTCTCAATTCACAGCAAACGCTGTCATGGGAGCTCCTGGAGCCACAGTTTTGACTGAAACGCTTCCTGAAAGCAAACAGCTCTAAAGGGAGACCCCGGCTTCTGCCACCATCCCCACCGCTCCGCTCCCCAAATACTTCCTTTAACATGAGAAAAGGAGGGAGTCAGACAGGGAAAGGCTTCCTCAATACTTATACGATGCTAAATCCAGCATTACGGAGCTACATTTAGCATTGTAGTCTGTACAGAGACTGGAAATGCTATATGGGGAACTGATGGTTTCAAGTAAAAAAAAAAAAGTCAGAAAGCTATGTCCATACAGTATCTTTTCTAGCCTAAAAAGGAACAAAATTATCTCAGAAACTTACAGCAAGGCTCAAGAAAAATCAAGTGTCCTAAGGAGCTTATACTGCGTTCCTGACAGGAGACGGCTACCACTGATTTCTCAGCAGTTCCTTCAATTCGGTACCTTCTGTCAACTGGCCAACAAGTCCAGAGACAGGGGATACCTCTGCTATAGAAACCTTCAGTTTTCCATCCCAGCAAACCCACTGTATCTGGGACAATATCAAAGAGTCAGAAATATATATGGCTTTTCTCCTTCTTAAAGGCAATGGAAATGCTATAGAACTCTGATTTAAAGGCACATTTTAATTCATTGCATATACAGAAACCAACGTTGGCAAACACAGAGGTAGTACATACAAGATCTGAACTGTGATAGCTTCAAAAAGACACAGCCTTCAATGGCACCAATCTCTTAAGGAAATTAATAATAAAACATTTCAGAATACAAGAGACAACATAAGCATTTATACCGCCCCGACGGCAAAAGAGAACAAGGAGCACATTTGGGTTTTAAGAGGTAGCACTGGAGGCTGCTCCCGACACAGACACGGGTGCAGGACACACATGTGGGCCCTTCGCACCATTCCCCAACGAAGAAATGACAGCACAAGTGGCCCACAAGGAAAAGCAAATACATACATATTCTTTTTACCCTATCAATCACCTCCTGCTGCAGTTAATCAGTAGTACAAGAGATAGTACAAGACATTTATCTACAGAAACGCAGAGCAAGTGCAATAATTTTCCATTTCTGATAGGTATATTCAACTGCAAATTCCCTCCCACCCCCAACAAAGGTCAATTCATGCTTTACAGATCTTATATTCGGCAGTATATGGAGTGCTGTCACGTTTCCTACAAACAAAAAAACAGGTCAAATCAGAGATTTTTACATTTAAATAGTTCGCACATTTATTCTGAAAGCACATCCTTAGTCTTATCATTAAATCAGCAGGCAAAGTCATGAAACTAAACTAATTTGTCCTCTTACTAACTCAAGACTGAGGAGACTTTTGCTTCATCTCACCCCTAAGACTGCCAAGAATGACCCACGGAGTAGAGCATTTGATCCAAAGGGATAATTTCAGGATTCCTAACTAAACTGGAGACTACATCAGAAGCTTCCCTTAAAATGTAATTTAAATACAGTAAATTGTTCAGTACACATTTTACAACCAGAAGCTGAGTATTAGTTTGTAAGAATTTTGATTTTGTAGATCGCTAACAGCAAATTTATAATACTTAAACATGAGGATTAAAACTCATAATTACATCCATATATCTATCTATCCCTACATCTGTATGTGCGTGCGTGTTTTCAAGTTCTTGAATAATTCCTGTTTTGCTTTACAGAAAAAAACAAAAACAAACCAAACACAAGAAACCCCAAACACACCAAACATCTGCACTATTACTTTAGGTCTCTAAGGAGATATCCCATAAGGTACCACAAGAAAAACCCAGGGGCTGATAGAATAAATAGCATGTGCTATTCAAAAGAACAACTCCATTCTATTCCAACTCCTGATTCCTTTTCTTCTCTCTCCAAAAATAAGCTAAACTAACCCAGAAGACTAATCCTATCTCAATCAGAAACATCTTATTTCAGAAGTAAAGATGATATTCCTTAATCTATACATTCTTTTGGAAGAAACTCCAAGCTGTATTTTCATATAAGCCATTTCAAACATATCAAAGGTACTGCAGTCACTTGTTCTTTACAAGCAAGTAAAATCAAGACTGCATTTGAAAAGACCTTTATCTTAAGTCAGAGTAAGAGGTCACGTTTCAACCATCACCTCCTCAGTACTTGTGCAACAGAGAAAAGCTACACAAACTAAGACACAGTTTACAAAAGTATTTGTAGTGCAAACTGGAACTGTTAAGGCAGTAATGACAAAATACTGACAAGGAACAGTCAGATTAAGCTGTCCTGTCTGCAATCTGTCCTGTTGTAACAAGGTTGAAGAGTCAGGTTTTTGACAGAGCTGATTTGACCCTACGCAAGTGCAGGAGCAACCATCACTACCATCAAATGCATCTGAGTCCTGCACTAAGAACTAATCTAAAATACAGCAGAGGAAACCAGTTCCTAACAAGCATTTTGACCCTTTTTAGGGCTACAGAACTCTGAGTTAGAAAAAGAAACCAGCTTTTTAATAAAAAGGTTTAAAAAGGCAGCATTATTTGCACCTTTATTTATTTTATTTTTCTTCTAGAAAGCTGAAAGTGCAGATGAATCAGTAACTCTGTCAGACACTTTTGCTTTTCTCCAAAGGGGTGCACACCACCTTTACAATTCAGTGTCCATGTAATGCAGCAAAGGTGGTTTCCAACTCCAACAGCCTTCCAGTTACAAGGAATTGTAATACATACTGGAACTAGTGCAAGCACTCTACTGAGTGTGTATACAGTCACTATCTTACAGAAAACGATGTTACTCATTCTTTAAAAACAACTCAAAACTAAGATCTGTGATATGCAATCACTGGAAGCACTGAATTATAATTCTTTATACATTATATATCCTATTCTCCCAAAAGGAATGAATGGTCATTGTAGTCTTTCAGCTAGGCAGATTGCACACTTCTGAAATTGAGTAAACCATAACATAAACAAGACACTTAAGCTTCATTGCAAAAGTCCAAATTAAGAGGAAACTGTATACCTTTTTAAGATTCAATTAATTCATTTGTGCAGTTTCTTCCATCTCAGCTGGTACATTAGTTTTTAAAATACATGTTTCCTTGCAATTCTCATCAACTGTGTACGAGCTGAACAGCAGAAGGGGAAAAAGGTCTAATTGAATGTCCTATAAAACTACTGAAAACTGGCAGAATAAACACACAAGAAAGAGGGCAAGAAAAGACTTTTTGTGGTAATTTGAAGACTACAATGCAGCAAGTACGAGGTACTTGAAGCACAACAGTTCAAAGGCTCAGCTACATCAGGAATCCAGAAACTAAACAGGGAGGATCTAAACTTTAATAAAAGGAGATTAGATCAGGGCTTTCAGACAAGAAAGAGGTTTAATAGTCAGACATTCACAGCGAGGAAGAGCAAGGCAAGCACTGGGCACAATAAGCCTTTTCATGGTGTAAAATTTTAGAAACGTAACCTTCTCTAACCTTCTCTAACGTTTGATGCTGCTGCTTTAGATCTCTCCTCCTTTCTGTAGCCGGAGAAGGCTTTCCTCAGATGAAGGCAAAGTGCTGCCCTAATGCTATTAACTTCCCTGCACTCCTGTCTGGACCTGCCGGATTGTGGATTATCCACACCACAGATGAAATGTAGTTGCTCAAATGCCCCAAGTGACTCAGCAGCACAGAGGAGCAGGGGGTCCTGCTCACGGGTAACAGCACCGCAGAGCCCGTGTGGGACAGCAAGGCCAAAATCTCCCGGAATACAGGACAGCTGCAGCGCTGTGTGTACTTCAAAATATGAACCACAAGAATATTCCCTCTGGTTTGCTGTATCAAAGCATCCCTTCATTTGGTTCATGCACTTCAGATAAATTCTAACAGATTTTGTTGAAAGGCAATGATGAGATGCTCAGCATAGCATGCTATGTGCACCACCTCACCTGCTCTGATTTTTCAGCGTATTGCATGTTACAAAAAAAATCTCTAACAAAACAAGTTGTTTTTTTTTTTTTCCTCTCAAGAAGATAAAATATCACTGCAAAAAGCAATGCAAATCTCCTGCCAGTGCTTCATGATAAAGCATACATAACAATCAGTTCTTTGGAAGATAAGTTCAAAAGACCCTGTACATCCCATTAAAAACAGAAGAACACTCCTACTTATGCATCTAATATTTTACAGTTGATTTTGCAAGTATTTTACATAGGGACGCCAATGATTGCTGCTGCAGGAGGAAAAAAACTGAAGTGGATCCACACACTAAACATACCCATAGCAAAGCTGACCATTTGCTTTTTCAAACAGCACAGGAGCACCAGTTTAGGTCAATTTTTTTCCTCCTGTTTTCCTTGTAACTAAGCTCCTATTATTTTATTCAAGATGCTTCTGGCCCAAAACACAGTGGTCCTCCAGTCACCCTGCAAAGCTTGCAGTTCACGTAAACCACTCTGGCTCTTACAACCCGAGTCCTGGTGATGTCAGAGGGTACCCAAGCCATAACTAACACAGATTAAGCCCATATGACCCAATACTACCACTGGTATTAAGAGGTAAAACGGATATGTTTGATAGCAGATGCAAACATCACTTTCCTCAGAGAGCCTACCTCTGCCACATACAAGCTTAAGGACAGGGTTTTTCCTTCCCTGAAATTGGTGCAAGTGTTAATTAGCAGCTTATCTGAATAAGAGATATAAAAACAGAGCCAGATATATTGTTAGGCACTTTAGCTTCCCATCAGCTGCTGCAATAAGCTCACGTATCATCATGAGGCATTTGGAAAAGGGCAGATAAAGCTCAAGAAACTTACATACGTGTTAGCACTGCTTTTGCTCAGTCATTTAGAAATCTGCAGTAATAACAATAAAAAAGGAGGCTTACTCACCCATTATGTGAAAAGAATTTCTTATAGATCCAGAAGGCTGCCAGGAACACCACGACGGCCACAATCACTTTGGGAAGAATTAAAAAAAAGCCTTAGACTGATAAAGATTATTTCTAGCTCACAAAAACCCACTAAAAAATTTAGCAGACATAGCACTGTCTTCATCCACAGCGCTATACAATCTCTCCCAGCAAAAAAACCTTAACGTTTGCACAGCTTATTTAACAAATAGGTATTTGATGCCTTACTCCAGACTCTTCAAACTGGTTCAACTCAACCAAGACAGCAGAACCCCACCAGCTCAGGAACGTTAAACCAGGTACTTTGGTTTGGCAACAAAAACATTACTTTTGACAATAAAAAAGATGGAGGTTTACAAATTGGCTAACAAATGCAAGGCCAGAAGCTGGACCAAGCCCCTGCGTGCACTGGCGCTGGTATTTACTGACACTTCAGTAAAGCCAAGCTCTGAGGTGTTTATGAAAGTGCCCAAGTTGTGGAATTCTGCCTTTGAAATCTGGTGCCTCACATACAGGAAAAAATATACATTCTACAGGAAATTAATCTGTAATTGCTAAATAATCAGCAGCTTTAGGACTAAACAAGCATTTTTAAAATAACCAAACCTCCAAATTCACATTATGTTACTGCAGTCACAGGTGATGACCGGAATATCAATTCCACACAAAAAATACAACTCACATTCTACCTTGTTCAGGTTTTACACAATACTTACCACAGATGATGGCCGTAATAAGCCCACCTAAAAACAGAGTGAATCAGTATCACGAGAGGAACACATGTGCTTATTATTCAAACATTATTATAAAAATATTCCCAAAGTTATTTCTAATAGATCAAAACTTGTCAATACAATCCTTGCAGCAGTTTATATTGTAACATCTATTTAACTTAAAATATTCCTATTTTTAAACAGATTTTACCAAAACCTATTTTTCTTACGTCAAGATAAAGAAGGAAGTTTGCATTAAATGATTTTTCCTGAATACAAAAGCACGTCCTCAAGAAGTAAAGCTTCTGTTACACATATTTTCATTCTAGTGGAAATTATTGCAGTTCATACTTACTTAACTGGCAAGTTGGCACTCCAGGAACCCATTGGTTTTCTCCAATATACTGAATACGAGCTTCACCATGCAATGTGTACCCTGCATAACATTCAATCGTAATAAAATCCCCGATGGAATATGAAGGTTTTTGCCCATCAATTACTCTACCATGATGTATGTCTGGAGTGAAACCAGAACTTACAGGCCCACCTGGAAAGAGATGAGGAGGAAAAAAAAGGAAAAGGAAATAAAGTCCAAGAACAGAGCTGGTACATGACTCAAGAAGCCGCCATCAGAAAGTACCCACTTTTGTGTAAATATCAGAAGTTCAATCAATCCTTAAGATATTTTATATGCAGAGGCTGCAAATAGCTCTGCTGATGGCTGTGCTTCATACACATTAACAGAAACAAGTCTCAGCTTCGTTAGGAGAAAGAGCTTCATCAAAGTAATGACAACCTCTGTTTCTATGATAACAAGAGACCATGTGGTGCAAAGCGAGGCGAGAGTAAAGCCTGCATTCACCAAAGGAAGAATCTTCAGAAAACACTCCCAGAACACACCTCTTACACTGGCTTTTGAGCTTTGCCAACTTCCATAAACTAAACTAAGACTGAACAAGGACTCCAACTCTGCCAAAAATTCTCCTCAGTGGCTGCAACTTTAAGTGTTACTCACATGTACAGTTTTGTACAGAACTCCACATATTTTGCCCTCGACAAGTGACTGTCAGCTCTTCAGCGCCATCGGGAAAAATGCAGTGAGCATTGCACTTTATCTGAACAGACTCTCCTTCTCCATATACGGATTTTGCTGGAATCACTACTCCATGTGTGATCTTCGGGGCACCACATAAAACTTCTGTAACTAACATATGAATTTAAAAGTAAGTTTAGTGATAACAAACTTTAAATATTTTATAATTCATGGATTTACTGCCTTTGTATAAGAAAAGCAGATCAGCATATCCAAATAGTGTAACTTTATCACAATTTTAAGTATAAACGTTTCCTTTGGAAGACTTCAAAGAAACATCACTGTAGGTACACATTAGGTAGCATGATCTTATGATGTGGCAGCTAAGAAATTCTATCAGAATTCAGAAACACATCTTTTCTCCTGTACTGACACATGAAATCACAAGAACAAACACCACGATACTATTACAATGCAGCAACATCACAGTTAGTCCATGCCACAACTTCTACACACATCTGTAACTCAAGTCACTCTCATTCAAAAACAGATGAGGCTCCACAACTTTCTCACCTTCCAATTTGCAGCTACACCATTATGATTTTAAATCTTAGTGAAGACAGACTTACAACATTCTCAACATACAAGAAAAGCTTGATTCTTACTAAAAGGCTTACTTTTTTCACAAGTTGGTTTTGGAGGAAACCAGGTGCTATTTTCTCCACAAGTAATTACCTCCGGTCCGATCATGAAATAGCCTGGATCACACTCAAACATGACTGAGTCCCTATAGCTATAGGAAGGTCCAAATCCAGCTGTTTTTCTTCCACTTTTAACTTTCGGGTTATCACATTTGACCACTGAAATAGGCAAAAGAACAGCTCTGAACCATTTATTAACAGTACTTCCGCTACAGACACAGCATCCTTTTACTACCTGTAAGTTTTCTTATCTAATTCTTCAAACTGTTTTGGAGGAGCTTTGTAAGATGGTTGTTCTCTTGAAGGTGGAGAAAGTCCTTGGTTTTAAGCTATTGAGTTGTAATGGTACAGTCAAATAAAAAACTTGTAGTAATTCATATAATCACATTCAACCATCAAAAGACATATTAGCGTACAGCAGCAGTATTTCAGAAAACAAAGTCATTTTGATTAGGGTTCAAATGACAACAGCCAAGCATCTGGTACTGCTCTCTAGATCTGCAAAGCAAGACTTTGTGCTTGCTGGGCTTCACATTTATTTCTGCACTTGCACAGTAGCTGCGTTTAGAAAAAGAGCTCTTCCCTGCCTTCTTACTATTCACAATCTAGCTGCCACAGTCTTGTTCTTTACACAGTTTTTCTGCAGCTACCCAGGCTTTACAGTCTCTCAGTTCCTTCACTCTGTCCTTGTTACTGCTACCAATAGCATGCTCATAAATTTATTTTTAAAGTTTTAACTTAAATTTTAGTCCTATTCTGTGTCATAATCAATCAATCATAATGCAGTTGATCTCCTCTCCATTGGAACTATATAAAATTTAGTACCAGAAGATACGTTTCTTTTCTTCTATAGGGAAGTCTATCTCTTCCCCCCATCCTACTTCCAAAAAAAGGGACAGATATTGAAGTTTTGAAGTCACACAGGCTATAATAAAGAAGCATATTAAAAATTCTAACAACCTTTACATTGTGGAAGTGGCTGACTCCAAACTCCATTTGATTCTGTATTGTATTCGCAGAAAATCGTAGCAGGGCCAATGAGCGAGAAGGGGTCGGCGCCTTTCGGCACCTCATTACAGCTGTAGGTCACTGGCGTTTCATAGACGTAGTTGGCGGCTTCGGTGTAGCGGCCATTGGCGATGCTCGGAGGTGGTGCACAGGGAATTCCTAGAAATAAATCACACCACCGAGTCTCAGAATTTTGCTGTTCCCTTGTTCACCTTAGAAACAGCAAGTCTTGATCACCAAGTCATTTAATTTAAAATAGCTCTTTCTAACACAAGCTACAGTTATAATTGAGAGCTACCAATGGTCATTTATTACAGGGAGTCTCAATTTCAAGAGACTGAATTTAACTAATACAACCTAATTACCACAATAACTGCTCTTTCGGAGTGGTCACTCCTCAGGCACTTCCCCAGTAGCTTTAAATAAAACCAACAATCCTATTTTACCATCATTTCTTATACTGGAAAGTTTATAGCACAGCTGCTTTTAAATGAATTACCACCATCGGAATAGCAACTTAAGCACAGTAGTTCTTTACTTACTTTCACACAGGGGAAGATCTCGATCCCAGTCAACACCTTTATTCTTTATTACACAGGAAATTTCATCAGTTCCACGCAATCTGAATCTAGACAGGTAAAAAATCTTTAAGGAGGTGAAACTTAAGAAATCTCTCATTTCTCCAACAAACAGACAAAAACACTGTTTATACAATTCTGTTCCGTGATTATGGGGACAGGACATACCAAGCTTTTGTTGTAATGGGAATAGTACCATAATTTTTTATTTTGCTATCAGTCTCAACTTTGAAAGCACAACAGAAGCAAATGAGACATCACTGAAGGAACTAATGGAAGTTTTGTCACTTCAAGATCTCTACCCCCTAATACTAATGCCCTAAAGTTACCAATACTAAAGAAATAAGTTGCTAAAAGGAAAGGGAGGAAAAAACCTTGCAAGGGGTCAGTGCTTTTGAATCAATTTGCTATACACAGACAGGTGAGCCATTATTCAATACAATAATGAAGGGTGATATTTATATTTATTCCCTCTGCCACAGGAACATTAAAAGAAGTCATTAGATGGAACACTCTAGTTTTCACTCCGCAGAAACTCACTAAAAAGCTTTAGCCCTGGCTGGTGCAAACAGCAACTAAAAGCAGGGAACCAAATCAAATTTAGCCGTAATTTCATTTGCTTGACATTTCAAATCAGAACTGGAATGGAATCTGCATAAGAAAATTTGAGTTTGGTTCAAATCTTATCTAAACATTAAAAAAGAAATAATTCAAAGGATTCATTAACTTCACCAAAATACTTACCCTTTTTCACAAGAAAAAGTAGCTTTTGAACCAAATGTAAGATCTGTCACATTAATAAAACCATGTTCTAAGTCTCCTGGATGATTACATTTTCTCTCTAGGGTTAGGGGAAAAAAAAGAAAAAAATCTACATCTTGGTAGTCATATATAAAAACTAACTCTTTGCCATACACTGCTCTTACAGCCATTAGCATTTTTCAAGCTTCATTTAAAATATTACAGAATACTAACTCTCCCTTTAAAAAATAAATAAAATTGTAAAATATCAAAGGGAAAAAGCAAAAGAGCTCAAGCACACATTACCTGTACAGAACTGCTCTACGGGTGACCATTGCAAGTCCTCACCACACGTACGAGCTGACGATTTTCCGGGGATTGCCATGTATCCGGGCCGGCAGACATAGGATACGGTGGTGCCCACAGGAAAGCTCTTCACTGTGCTGAAGCTCTCCTTGAGCTCTGCGTACTGCAGCCGCTGCGGAGGCGCACACACATCTGGCAGAGCGAGGGGAAGGAAAAAGCACCACACAATCAGAGTTGAGGCATTATGGCATGGAAACGAGGTTCATTCAGTAGGTTTTTACATCTTGTTGGTAAATCAGAGGTGTCATTCTTAAGAGGAAAAGCTGCCATTATATTTAACCAAGTTTCATTTTTAATTTAGATTTTAATTGCATTCAATGTCCAACTCTACCCTAGTAACGGTTACTTACTGTTTGCTCAAATTCTTCAGCATTCTACCCAGACAATGCATTTTCTTCCAGCTCTTATTTTTTGTTTGCCTTATTCCTGTGGTTAAACACAATTTTCACTGTATACTCTCTGCCTATTGAACTTGCTACAGGAAAAACAAACAAAGCGACCAGCCATGCTCCCACCGTCAGTTTCCTTTCCCAGGACAAGATCGCACAGGGGAGCTTAAACCCAGCCCCCAGAGACCACCCGACCCGGGGAATGGGGGCTCTGAGGAGCAGTTAATGAAGATTTAAGACTTCTCCACAGCAGAGGACTCTGAAAAACGCATCCGAGCCATTGCAACCCACAGATGCCAGACCCGCCCAGCCTTTGCAGACTCGCACACGGCAGTGGCTTTCAGCCCTGGGATGATGGCCATTCATTTCCCTTCCATCCTATTTCTTGCTTAGAAACTGACCAAACCATAACAGAAATTTAAACCTCAAACGCAGGGCCAGACCCAGCACCCACGAGCACCACAGCCAGCACACGCCTGTCTTCACAACACAAAACACAACCTTTCTCTCACCTTTTCGCCCCAAACCACCCCAGAGCCGCCCGGAAAGCTCCCTGTTCCCAATACCGCCTGAAGCCGCTTCCTTTTCCCTTCCCACCGCCTCCCGAGGGGCTCATCAGGCCCTGGGAAGCCCCCCTCAGCCCAGCAGCACCCTGAAGCCCAGGGGAGGGGAGGATGAGCTCTCTCCCGCCTCCTAGTGGCTCCCGGGGACGGGAGGCCGCGGGGACTCGGCGTGTGTCGTTCTTCCCCGTCACCCCC